GAATTACTGGCTTAATTGTAAAAAACAATACAGCATTATATCTGTTTAAAGATGGCCAGACGTTCACAGAGATGGAGCTGAGCACCTGTGTGTGGGAAAATCAAAGATGATGCCATACTTCTTAACTAACATGCTCGTCCTTCCTATAAGTGCTTGAAACCATTAACATCTCAAATGAGTTTCTCTCTGCTCGTAATGAAATTTCACGTGTACACTCTCTAATGCTCACACACGGCGCCATTCAGCCCTCAGTGGCCATGCAATTGACGATCTACCACACGTTCATTCATACCCATAATACATTTACTAGAATGCATCCGTCTGTCTGTTTCCCCGGCACCCCTCCTCCTCCTCCTCCTCCTCCTCTCTCTGTCATCAGTTCCTCACCTTCCGACACACTCACCATTACCTACATTCCTACAACATGTCAAACAAGAAAATGACAAGCTCTATTAGCACCGCAGGACAGGCCAACACAAGGACACAGAGTGTGCGAGGATGCAAAAAAGTCACACAAGCCCTCAGAAGTGGAGTCGTCGGCCAGGGGCATGGTGACAGCACTTGCGGCCGATCTTCTACCACACGACCCATAATACATTTACTAGAATGCATCCGTCTGTCTGTTTCCCCGGCACCCCTCCTCCTCCTCCTCCTCCTCCTCTCTCTGTCATCAGTTCCTCACCTTCCGACACACTCACCATTACCTACATTCCTACAACATGTCAAACAAGAAAATGACAAGCTCTATTAGCACCGCAGGACAGGCCAACACAAGGACACAGAGTGTGCGAGGATGCAAAAAAGTCACACAAGCCCTCAGAAGTGGAGTCGTCGGCCAGGGGCATGGTGACAGCACTTGCGGCCGATCTTCGAGCATGGTAGCTGAGGAGGTGAAACAGAACTAAACTGTCAAAAACATGACGCACTCCCACATACACGTTCATTCCTGTGGATGAGGGAGCAGCTGTCATGCCCCCCATACCACCCCTTGGTATCCCCCATGGGGACGGTGAGGCAAAATGAGCAAGGCCAAGGGTGGGCTTGAAGTGACGGCACAGCTGAGCGGCATCAGAAATATGTTTTGTAAACAACTGAAGGCTTTATTATGTCCTAACTTGCTGGTAAACGTATTGAACAATGCTTTTGGGACAAATGGCTAAGAAAAGCCAGACAAACATATGAAGTTCCACTTTATTTAAAATATAAATGCAACACCAACTTCCATCTTTTTTCTCTGTAGAATTTAGGCAATTGTGCCCTGCCCAAGGGCATGTGTGATGGGACTAGAAATAGATAAGAACAACTCAAACCTATAATAAACTATGTAGAAATCTAGATCAATGGAAACCTGTACATACATCAGAAATAAATCAATATATCTTTTCCGCCAGCTATGATTTTGGCATGCTGCTCAAAATCATAGCAGAAATACTGTACTGATCATTTATGAAGGCCATCTGTGATAAAAAACAGCTCAAACCAGCATAAAGCTGGTTTTTATCTGTGTCCCAGCCTGGTCATACTGGTCTGTTGGCTGGTTTTAGAGGGGTTTTGGGAACTTTTCAGCTGGTCATGCTGAGAGACCAGGTTGAAGATCAACTACACAACAGCTTGGCCAAACAGGGAGACCATCTTAAAACAGCTAAGACCAGTAAACCAGTTTAGGCTGGTTTAAGCATTTTTTTCCAGCAAGGAAATGTAATGCTTCATTTACATAAGCACACTATGAGAATAATAAAGAATAATAACAAATGAATTAACTTTTAGCATTACGCAACAGCATACAGAAATATTCCTGTTGAAAAATATACATTATGTAAATATCTATTATACTTTGGAACAACATGTGGTACAAGAAATAAACAAAACACATTAATAAGCAAATAAACATTCAGGAAATGTGTCACTAAACAATATCTACCAATAAAAAGGATATCAATAAGCAAAGCTGTGCACAAACACAAGTAAAGACTGACCCACGTCAGAGTTTGATGTGTCCTGTCAACCTGCTAATGCTAGTTAGCTAACTCGTCTCAGCCCAAGTTTAGATTTACTACATTTGGAGAACTGTACTGGACAAACTGAACTAGCACTCTTAGTAGCCATAAAGCATTTACATTATAAAAAGTTTTTTACTCGAATAACAGTTACTGGTGTGGTAAAGGGAGTCAGACGAGAGTCCGCAGGCTACTTTTAGCAAACGAGTCTAGCTACTGTCAGTTAGCATTGTTCGATACAGTGCCCGTGTTGTGCTTAATATGCACTAAAAACTTAACGTTACTTTTAATCAACATAATTTGCTGTCACTACAAAATGCTTATATAAAAGGGTCTGCGTATAGTATAAATGTGTTGCTTTTAATTGACAGCACCTCGCAGGCTCGTCAAACTGGCTTAGGATGGGTGCTAACAAGAAGCATCGGATAAAACTTTAGCCACGGTAGCAAAGCTGCAATAAGCAGCTCAAATTCATAGTCACAGAAGTTTGGTAAAGGATTTATTTTATGGACAACCATTGTTCTGTTGTATTATAAACCGCAGATAGGTTCAGTGTTAAATTTAGAGACGGTTTGAATTAGCTGGCTTGTTGGGCCGCGATATCGGCCTTAATTTTCGGCCATTTTCCTGATAATCTTAACCGAGTATCCCTGCACATACGCGGGCTTGGTGTTCACTCGCTAGCGGCCGCGCTCGACCGAGTCCCGGACAACGATAGCTCGCAAAAACGCCTCAATCCATAAATCTCAGCCTTACCCGGTGCACTGCAGTCGGCGCACACCTCGCTTCTTTGGACTTTCCTGGACATAGCTGAAACAAAATCCAGAGATTTTACTCCAATACTGAAGATTATTTAGCTTGCTTTCTCCCCAGGAGCGACGTCTGCGGTTTCAATGCCGCCCCAAATGTCCGGAAGCCGGCGACGAGCTCCCCAGCACTCCCGGTCCTCACCCTTCTCTCTCTCTCTCCTCTGGTCTTCTTGTTTTACCGCTACAAGGACTTTACGATTACTTCAAATTAATCCGACTTTTTGCGGAAGGCCCTTACGTTATCAGATTATTTAATTTTGGGTGTCCCCAATTATCTTTTCCCCACGAATCGTTATCCAAGCCCCGTCTCTGTCTCGGGTAAAAGGGGGTGGGAATAAGAAAATACACTGTTTATTTACATCCACTGCCCTATACACTTCTGTATGGCAGGCTGCATAGTCTCCCTCTCTCTGACGTCTGTCTCTCGCTCTCTCGTTTTTCTCTCTTGCCCCACCGTCGTTAGTGCACAGGCGGGGGCAGACAGAGCAGAGGGACCATGCAGTCATGCCCACCAGTGGAGATGAATTTTACATGAGATTATTTACATGCCTACAATCCCAAAATTAAGTATAATAAAAAAGCATAATAAATAACTAAAGTTTTTTTTTTCTAATTCAGTAAATTGAATGGTCTGTCTGTCTAATTAAAAACAGTAGGCAACCCTATAATATAATACTGGTCCTCCACATTCTATTCTATTCTGTTCTGTTCTGTTCTGTTCTATTACTGAAAATTTACTCACCCTCAGGCCATCCAAGATGAATGAGGTTGTTTCTTCATCAGCACAGATTTGGAGATATTTTGGTAGCATTGGTCACTTGTTTACCTATGGATCATCTGCAGTGAATGGGTGCCGTCAGAATCAGTGTCCAAACAGCTGATAAAATCATTACAATAATCCACAAGTAATATACACGACTCTAGTCCATCAATTAATGTCTTGAAAAGTGAAAAGCTGTGTTAGAATGAAACAAATCCATCATTAAGGCGTTTTAACATTAAACTGTTGTTTCTGACTCCATAATCCATAATACAGTAATGCTTCCTCCAGTGAAATTTAAATCGGATCATTTTTTTCTTTCTTTCTTGATACACTATAATGAAATAAACTGTTTTTTTTCTGCAAGTATGTGAAGAATGTGCTAAATGTGCTGAAGAAAAATGTAATAAAAATTTGCACAGTAGCTCAATATAACCCAGAAATCCGCAAACAATAAAGTATAAAATCGAATATTTTACTAACAAGCAATTGAGGACAAAAGGAAAGGTTAAACAAAAATAAATGCATATTTATTTTTGATTTAACTTGAATTTCTGTTTTTTTTTTACTGTCAACATACGTGACTACTGACATGTTTATATGTATTGAGTTCATGTTTTATGTGAGACGGCAATATTATTAATGAAGTTGATGAATAAGTATCTACTTGATCATATTGCAGTTGCGATATGGCTAATATTAACTAAGTCTTATTCCCTGGTTTAGATGGGTGGATGGGATGGATAAAGGAACACTTATCGCAATAGATATTAATAATATCAGCACAATAGAAAATAAAAATTCATTTCTATTCTAAGTAAGTTTTCATACTAACAAATGAATGGGATTCATTTGGGATTTTTCATGGGATTATTTAGACATATGTTTCAGTTAAAATATGACAACAGTTTATTTCAGTTACGTTTTATTCTGTTTCAAAGAGCAGAGGTTTAAGTTTTGAAATAACTGATTTGGACATATTGTAATAGTATAAGGTTAATACTATATATACTATACTATACTATAGAATAATGTTAATTTAAGTATGGATAAAGCAACACATTGTTATTGATAAAATCAGCACATAACATATAAAGAACCTGTTCTGTTCTATTATCTGTTCCATTCCATTAATAGAATAGAATTATGAACATGCTCTGTTAAAAAATTATATTGAATCCATTAGATATTTATTAAGAAATATTAAGACACATGGCAGCATGAGATGCTCCCTCTATGTCCTCTTTCATGGCGCAGTGAGCAGCATCAGCATGTATGACAGAATCACACACTGAAGTTCAATGGCTCATAGATGTGAGTCGCTTTCATCAGGGAAACGAGAGCCCTGCCTCAGCCTCCGCGAGCGAGCGAGCGTGCGTGCGTGCGTGCAGTGCGGGCGCGTCTGAGTGTGTGAGGAGAGAGGAGAAGGAGAAGAGACCAGGAGGAGTGGAGAACAGAACGGAGAGCTTTAAATTGCCTTTCAACACAGACACGCGGAATGCCAAGCTACTATGCAAAAGGCGATGCTGGATACGAAAATGGAGAGAAATGCCCTTACCGGTCGTTTCAGAAATAATAATATAGCACGCGCCCTTTATAAAAGTAACTGATATCGCATAAAAACAGGGAAACGGAACGGGGGAGAGAGCAGCGGCGAACTATGCACTGAGGATGATTTCTGCCAGAAAAACTCCGGAGAAGAGGCGCTACCACCTGCATTATCTGGTGTGGCATAACAAACACCGGCAGCTGGAGAAAGAGCTCTCAGCGCGCGAACAGGTAAGATGCTTTCGTTTACGCGTGACAGTCTCGCGGCGGATGATGCTGTGAGGAGCGGGCCGTGCGTTTGATTGAGAAAACTGATACTTAATTTCGGCTTGTAATCTGTGATGAAAGGGCGAAAAGTGATTCTTCATTGTTTGCTGGTTCATTAATAACACGTCTATTCAGTTAAGTGCTTATTTACTTGCTGATATGTTTACTGCAAACAGAAATACGTGTCAAAAAACCCTCACACCCTGGCTGTGTCTTCAAACCTAGTGAGTTGCCTACCTAGTCCGCATTTTTGGGCGTATAACGTTCGAACGCGTCTTGGTAGGTAGCTCACTAGATTTCGACACACAGTCTCTTGTTCTCCAAACCCGCTCATGTTACACGTCTGTCATTTGATCTCAAATGCAGTTTTATTTCGATCTGAGATAGTGTAAAACACTGAGAGGCTGCAGAATAAAGTGGCATTGCCTACAAAGGCTGTGGGTGAATGATGCTTACAGATCAGCCTACGTTCACCACTCACAGTTCCTGAGGATAGATGGTGTGTCAGGAGAGGGTGTGTTTGTCTTTCTGATCAGCCTTCTTCAAAAGAATTATTAATGCAGTACATTATTCCACGAATCAGTGTGGAATTAGTCTGTAATTAATTCGAATTTGAGATTACTGTGCAGAACTATAAATAGGCCAAAGACATTGAATGGTTGATTTGAATGTATGGGAAGGAAATTAAAAAAGAAATAAATAAATCAATTGCAAATAGGCACACTAAGCAAACAGACAGATTACAACATGACTGGTTTAGTTATGTTTATTGAGTTTCACAAAGCAGAAGTTCAACTGATTTATAAGGAACATGTTGTACAGCCTATAAATGAAAGAACCTGTTCTATCACCTGTTCTATTTTTTAATAGAATAGAATTCTATTCTAGCATTTATATTCTGTTAATAAACCAGTTTCAACATCTTATTTTATTATATTCCATGGGAGAAGTACAAACACTATCAGATGAATACAACTCTGTGTTCTCTGTATTATTGCATCTGTGAGAGATTTATCAAGAAATATTAAGACACAGATGGCAGCATGAGATGCTCTCTCTCTCCCATGGCACAGTGAGCAGCATAAGCATGTACTGTATTATAGAATCACTGATTACACACTGAAGTTCAGTAGCTCATACAGGTTGATTTTGTCAGGGAAGAAGGCTGGTTCTTTATGATCAACCATCTTTGAAAGTATTATTAAAGGCTGGCACGCAATGGAAATTCAATCTATTTTCTAAATGCATGTTATTGATCTTATTGTGAATGATTCATCCATGCGTGTGTTTAATTTTTTAAATTTTTTTCCATAAATTACTTCGTATTACTTTTTTGTGAAAGTATTTAGTAATTTTTAATCAAGATGTCACTCAGTCATACTGGTGAAACAACAGACTTTTTCCCGATGATGTTTGCCCAAACTTCACCAATCGTTAAAGGGGTCATATGATGCTTTTTTAAAGATCATTATTTTGTGTATTTGGTGTACAGCCTAAAACCGCCCTTTCTTACAAGCTTGCATTCAGATCTGCCTCTATTTATCAACAAACGATGGATAGAACCAAGTCCTGGTCTTCATATTTTCTTTTTTTCGATAATCCATTTAACTCGAATGTACATCACATGGAAGAAAAAGATCTGTCGCTACTTCCGTTACAGCACAACTTTAATGCAACATTAATTTACAGATTTGTAGAAATTGTCAAAATTAGTGTGACATCAGTCTATTCTTTCAAAAACTACAAATAGACAAACCAGTAGACACATAATGGTAAAATAGCATTAAAGGTGGAAAAACAGACTCATTAGAAAAATAAACTCATTAAAACATTGCTCTTTAATTCTATTCCAGTTTAATTTCAAATATTTAAAGTGCCCCTATTATGCCATTTTCAATACTGCCTTTCATGCAGTGTGTAATGTAGCTGTATGTGAATGTAAACGATCAGCAAAGTTGTAAAGCCGAAAGTGCACGATAAATAAAGTTATTGTCTCCCAAAATAAAGAATCGACTCTACAGCCTAAACGAGTCGTTAGTAATTCGAATCCCACTTCCAGTGACGGCTACACGTCACGGGGTAACACATTTGTATAATTCCCGCCTATGTTCTACGTTGGCCGGCAGCGCACAACTTGACCCCGCCCACAAACACGTCATTTTACTGACGACTGCTTCTCTAATCTCGGGGAGTTAAAAAAAAATCTCAGAGAGTTCAAGGCGGGATTCACTAAACGCTTGCTCTTGAAAGATGGCTCCTGTTTATTTGGACCAGCTGGCTCCACTGAATCACAACACAAGTATGATAAATAATAGATGTTTATATTTTCTATCGAGCATTCAAAATACGGAACTATGGCAATGGGCGTATCGTTTCCGACACGCACTGTACGCAGTAGACCAATCACAAGAGAATGAGCCATCTGACCAATCAGAGCAGAGTAGGCTCACGGAAAGGAGGGTTTTAGAGAGACTGAATCTTATGGCGCTTTTCCACTGCGTGGTACGACTCGGCTCGGTACGGCTCAGTATGGTACGGCACGGCTCGGTTCGGCTCGGTTTGCGTTTCCACTGCAGTTTAGTATCGCTTTAGAGTGGGCGGGATTATTCACATGTCATTATAGTTGCGCCGCCTCTACTGCCGCGACTCCTAAAAAACTTTTTCATTCCGCGTCGCCCCATCAAGCTCTCACTGGATCCGCTCCTCTGCTATCAACGAGAGCAACGTCTGTACTTCCTCAACAGGGGGAACAGCCACTTTTTGGTTGTTACAAAAAGGTGCGCTCGTTCAAAACAGTTGCATTCGATCCTTCGCTGGCTGTGCTGATTTAAATCTAGTGGTTCTTTTGTGTTTGTGTCGCAAGTTCAGTGATGCAGGTAGTGACGATTCTCTCCGGCCAATCCGTGATCAGCAGAGTTTACACGTCACGTTTTGGTAACGGTACGGTTCACTTGAAACCCCAACCGAGGTGGTACTAAAAAAAGTACCAGGTACCAGGTACTGTACCCAGTGGAAAACCCCCCAAAAGTGAACCGTACCGAGCCGTACCGTGCCGTACCATGCAGTGGAAAAGCGCCATTAGAACTGCTTTGAATGAATCGTTTGAGAATCGCTGGAAAATGAGGTGATATTAAATGCATATTTTGAGAAAACGAAAGCGTTTTTTGACCTTGCATGCATGTAATCCTATTGTAGGAGACTCCCAAAACAATATTAGGATCCTTAAAAATGGCATAATAGGGGCACTTTAATATTATTATATATATTTCAATAAATAATACATAATTTGTCATTGACATAAGTCAGGTTACTCCTATTATAAAGTTAAAGAGTTGCAACAGTAGTGGAAGAGCCCAACATGAAAACCAGAATGCATTTTTTTGTAACAAGCAGAAGTGTGTGTAAGAAGACTAATTGAGATCGCAGAGCCGAATCAGATGTCCATTTCAGGAAACATCAAGGCCTGTATGCTCTACTTTCACTATTCTGATTTAACTCTCTGCTTTATGAGTAAATAATTTTAACTCATTTGAGTGAAGTCTTCCTTCTCAGTCACAGCAACCATTCATGATTCCATCTTTCCAAACCCCAAACAAACTGCAACTCATTCCAATACCAGCCATCTTGGTCCTGTGCCGGTTTTTATGGCTCAGGTTGATGGTAATAATTCAGCCCCCTAACCCTCTTGATAATCACTGCGATATAAAGCACTTCCAGTTCAGTTGATTTAAAGGCTGCTGACAGCATAATATAGCCACGTTTGGCACGGCAGGGTGTCGCTCGATGAGTCCAACCGGGTCCCTCCGGGGACGGCATGAGGCGCGAAGGGAGGTCAATGCTGTCTTGATCGTTCCTCTCCAGTGAATGAGGCACGTAGCCATCCTGACAAGGGGAAAAGTTGCTGCACCAGCACACAGGATTATGGGATAGATGTTAGGTGTCAGTGAAAGAACAGAGGGGGGAAACTTAAGCTATTAGGACAGAGGAGAGCGAGGGACATGAATAGCAAATAGATCGGGTGGTGGTGGAGGAGGAAGAGGAGGGGTAAAGAAGTTACCGAAGGGAAAAGAAGCTCAATTTGCAGTTTGCCTTGACAGTGCCATAAAACAGTCACAGGCGAGGAATTGGACAGATGACAGCTTGGAGGAGAGCAGCAGGAAATTGAGAAGAGAATGGATAGAGTGGGTGATTGAATGGAGAAAACCAGAGAGAAGAGCCATTGCCAGCTGATGCATCTACAGAGCCAAGTCCAAAAATAAGAGAAAATGTCGAGCAGCATGTAGATTTGTGTTTTTTTTTTAGTTAAGTCAGCAGTGCCTCAGCAAATACGCAACAACACGGCGGCAATTTCTTTTCCCGCAGCCCTCCATCAGCTCCAACCATTTGCTGTTGTCCACACATCTGTTCAGTTTTCCTGTTTGATATACTGCTTTTCTTCTTCAACACTCGGCCCTCCTGCTCTCCACCCGTAACCCAACACTAATTGCGACAGAGCGTTGTCACAGGGGACGAGCATTGGGCGGCTGGGAGGAGGCTGCTGAGATTTAGTTAACTTATGGGAAGCTTTTAACAGACTGACAAGGACAGTGGCAGACAGACCTCGTACAAGGCCAGCGAATTGAGTTGTTGAATTGAAAATATGGAAATGAAAGGCGCAATTGCATCTAATTTGATTAGAGTTAATGATCTCAATTCCCAATACAATGATAAGTAGCAACACAATCAAACATGGTGCACACACATACAAATCTATCAATTGTACATGACCCAAATAGGCGAGTTGTGCTGCATTTGCCTACTAGAGAATACTACAAAGCTCTATTTCATAAGCACTACTCATCTCTATGATTTACATAGATGTTTGTTTTTCCAGTAAACATTCCCCTATTCTAATTTGGATAACCTCAAGCCATACTGTGCGAAAACCGTAGGAAGTATAACACCTAGTGCATCAGTATTCTCCT